TATTTTTAGAGATAAAACCGAAAGGTCTCGGTTTCGAGCTTCTGTCGGAGTCACTCGTCTTTGTTCCTTCCAAGGTTGATAAATGAATATCAGCTTGATAAATGGGTGGGAAGGAAGCGCTGCAATACAAACTATGCTTATCATATGGCTGCTGTCGATTCTGTCCTTAAAAATCTGACATTCTTGGCTGATGAAGTGAAAATCAGATATCGGAGATGCAGCCTTCGGACAGAACACTGTCTTTAAGCTAGGCGTGAGGCAATTTCGCTCGTTTGTTTCTGTGCTTAGATTTACATCGGTAAAACATGCACATTCCTTAGAATACGAATAGAAAAACATCGCGTTGATGTGAAGCAAAATAATCCTGAGTATTCCGGGATTTTGGAACATTCGTTACAATTCCAGCGTCAACACACCTCACAGTGTAACGGACAGACTGGTACTCCTTCATAAAGTCTTCACATTTCGTATAAAAAAACAAATACATCATAGACACTGACTTGGCGTCAATTCAGACTTGCGCAAGTTATTCTGAAAGGGCTATGAACAAAATTTCTAGTTATAAAATTGTTTTGCAACGCGCTGACGTTTTTCGCACACCCGCTTTTAACGACATTCTTCTTATATATAAATTATGAAGCTTCAACATTATATCGAAGAGTGACTCATATGGGGATGAAGGATCAGTTGAAGAACTCATCGAACTGGAAGCAGCAGAAGTTGATGAAGCTGAGACTTCGCAACCAGTAGAGAAAATGGAACGTTTTGTAACGAATAAGAAAACAACAGTCGCGTCGAATAAGATTTCGTTATAAATCACTCCTAATGCCTCGCAGTTTGGATCACAGTAAAGACACACAGACAGGTGATTTAGCCTGTTTTCAAATGAACAAGTAGTCTTATATTTTTTGGCAGGTACTGTAAACGATCTTTCGAAAAACTATACAGATCACTTTGAATTGCTCATGTTACACAAATGGAAGTTGAAAATGCTGTAAAAAATCAAAGAGGAGAATTTAAGCAAGGAAACACTTACCGGTTGCTTATTAAACGGGTTTCATAAAAGTTGCTTAACTTAGTTTTTACTAATGAGTATCACTCTGCGAATGAAGCAGAAGATTGCACGGTCGCACAGCTGTAGACTCTGCTGTTAAAATAAGATACCTTTGGCTGATGTTGTGGAAACTTCATGGAAAGAAGGGCACAACAAGCAACTCGTAATCATGAAACTGTAAAGGATACCGATATTTCAAATACCTTATTATTACTGTAAGGGACATCGACATTCCAGTCATTACGAACATTCCATTCATTCCATTCCTTACTAACAGCGACATATTTGATAGCGTCGCAGTATTTCCAGTAATGACGTTGAGTTCAGAGTGGATCTGGCGAAGACTTAGTTGATGCCAGGGACTAAATCTCACATCCCAACTCAAATTTTCGAGATATCTGAATTGGTGTATTTTTCTCGTGCGTCGGTCATCATGCGGAAATATGTCACGGAACGATTTATTTAAATACAACACAAAACGGCTTGTCTGTCGGGTGATGTCACAGGATAGCTCGTTTTCGATGTATCCTATCCGAACGAACGGCAGGACATAAATCTGGGTTAATTTGCTGTTGAAGTCTCTCAGCCTTAGATGTCGATGAACAACGACTGGACGAACAGCAGTAATCTCAATTGCAGTGCTTGGTGGAGCAACTGTTTCGCGTTGTTGAAAAAGCCATTTTGTACTGTATTTCCAATCGATCCATTTTTTAAGTTCGTTGTTCCCGGTTTGAACACGTAACATGCTCTCGAAACGGAGTTTGAATGAATACTCATCAGAATAGGAAAATGCTTCCGACATCAAAGGCTCCACGAGGCTGAGAGTTGTCAAACTTTTTATCTGGACGGTTGCAAATTACACATGAAGAAGTTTGAACCAGGAGACTGGCAGAGCGTAGACATTTTAGAGTGCTGTGTTACAAGCCATTGTTAACAGCCTTGCGGCAGTAGATTAGAATCATTGTTTGGGTCCTAAGGTAACTTGGCATCTTGGCCTATTTTTGTCAGGTATTCTGGGTCGATGGTTTCGCTATTTTGATAGCTTTATGACAAGAAATAGCCATTGTGTAGAGAAAGTAGTACTGCAAGAGTTTAATCCGGATTCGATTCGAACGCGAAACAAGTCAAGATACTGCTGGATCGATGGCGCATATACCTGGCACATGAGAATCGCACACGACCATACAATATGAAATGAAATTGCGTTTCGTACTCTCTTATATCTTATTAATGGACAATGACGTTTCACTGGTTGATCGATCGATCTAAGATACACTTACCGTAGCAGTTCTATACTTTCAAGTGTTTTTCGAAACATCTATGAAGCAAAGTAACAAAAAAGGCGCTTCTTTTTTACTTGAGCGCGATTACAGCACAGTCAACAAGGCTCGGTGTTCGGTAATTGAAGTTTAGCGCACTACTACCCATCATACGAGCATCCGAAACGGAAACAATCACATTTTTGAAAAAATCTTGTAAGTAGTAGCCTGTGTACGGTATTCAACCCGTTAAGGCTGAGCGACTTACAGAAGATTTACTGTACTCACTACTTTGAAGGCTGCTTTAATCATTCCTTGTTTCTCTGAACTTCGTACCAGCCAAAGCTTCGTTGTGGCTATCGACAGCCTGTACAACAAATCCGAATCTATGATATTGGACATTTAATTTAACTATATTGATATCCGCTATGCTACCTATGCGGTTTGCATGTGTTACTGTAGACTTGCAGTTGTCTAGGAGTATCGCCTTCGCGGATATATTTAAACATGCCTAAAATTAAGACGCTGCCTGCCATCCAGGGGACATCATTACATTAAGCATTACGGCCATGCTGTGGAACGTAATTGACGACGACACACTGGTTTTGCGCCGCCTTCTGACCCAAGGTACGCGGATG